CCTCGGTGTGTCTGTGAGGGTGTTGCCAAAAGAGATTAACATTTGAGTCAGTGGGCTGGGGAAGGTAGATCCACCCTTATCTGATGGGCACAATCTAACCAGCTGCCAGTGGATATAAAGCAGGCAGAAAAATGTGAAAAGGAGAGCCTGGCCCAGCCTATATATTTCCCCCATGCTGGATGCTTCCTGTCCTCGAACACTGGACTTCAAGCGCTTCGGTTTTGGGACTTGGACTGGCTCTCCTTGCTCTTCAGCTTATAGACAGCCTATTGTGGGACCTTATGATCGTGTAAGTTAATACTTTAAATAAACTCCCCTTTATATATATATATATATCCTATTAGTTCTGTCCCTTTAGAGAACCCTGACTAATACAATAGCTGACAGAGAATTTAAAATAACTGTGATTACTATACTAAAGGCTCTAAGGTAAAGGTGAAAATCATATAAGATTAGACAGGTAATATCAGCAGAAAAATGAAAACTGTGAGTCAAAAAGAAAAGCTAGAGATGGGCTGGGCACAGTGGTTCGTGGCTGTAATCCTAGCACTTTGGGGAGGCTGAGGTGGGAGGATCACTGGGCTCAGGAGTTCGAGACCAGCCTGGGCAACACAGTGAGACCCTTTCTCTTTGAAAAAAAAATTTTTTTTTTAAAGAAAAGCTAGAAATGAAAAATGGTAACAGATGTAAAGAATGCCTTCAGTGGCTCATCAAACAACTCCACAAAGCAATGGAAAGAATGAGTGAACTTAATAACTTATCAGCAAAAATGTTTTAGTCAATGGAAACTGAAAACAGAAAGAGAAAAATAATAGGGACAAAAAGAACAGAGCAACAAAGAGTTGTCAGACAACCTTGAACAATCTAACATATGTATAATTGAAACCCCTGAAGAAGAGAGCGTGAGAAGAAATACTTGAAGAAATAACAACCAAGGGCCAGGCATGGTGGCTCACGCCTGTAATCCCAGAACTTTGGGAGGCAGAGACCAGCGGATCACCTAAGGTCAGGAGTTTGAGACCAGTCTGACCAACAGGGAGAAACCCCGTCTGTACTAAAAATACAAAATTAGCCAGGCTTGGTGTCACATGCCTGTAATCCCAGTTATTTGGGAGGCTGAGGCAGGAGAAGGGCTTGAACCCAGGGGGCAGAGGTTGTAGTGAGCCGAGATCACGCCATTGCCCTCTAGCCTGGGCAACAGGAGTGAAACTTCATCTTTAAAAAAAAAAAAAAAGAAATAACAACCAAGAATTTTCCAAAATTTATGGCATACACAAATCTATAAATCAAAGAAACTCAGAGAAAAAAAAAAACAAATCTAGGTATATCATATTCTACCTGCTATAAAGAGAAAAGCTTGAAAGCAACCAGAGGAAAAAATACGTTACATGTTGAGGAACAAAAATAAGAATTACAACACAGTGCTGGCTGGCATGGTTTCTGATAAGAAGATAGTAGAGTGATTTAAAGTTTTATAAGGAAAAAACTGTCAAGGCAGAATTCAATATCCTGCAAATATATCTTTTAAAATTGAAGAAATAAACATTTTCTCAAACAAAAACCAGCACTAAAGAAAATGATAAAAGAAGTTCTTACAGCAGAAAAAATAAGATACCAGACAGAAACATGGATCTGCACAGACTGCTGAAACAGAATATCTTGAAGGAAAAACACATTTCATTAAAAGTTTTTCAATTTCTATGAAAGATAACTTTAATGCAAAATTAGTAGTATATATGTTTGGACAATATGTAAAATGTATGACAATTTCACAAAAGAGGTAGAAAGATTTGAAAATACACTGTTGAAAGAGCCTTAGATTACACATGAAGTGTAATATTTATTCATTTATTATTTATAATTTATTATTTGAAGGTACACTCTATTTATTGTAAAACCCAGAACAACCACTAAAAAAACTCTTGAAAGATGTATAAATAAATAAGTCAAATGTGAAGATAAAAATGGAATCACAATAAATATCTAATAAATCCAAGAGAAGGTAGACAAAAATAAAGAAACAAAGAACAGACAGAATAAACAAAATAGCTAGCAAGGTGACAGATATCCATCCAAATAAAATCACAAAACTGAGACCAAACATGATGGTAAAAGAAACTATGAGACTAAATGGTTTTTAGTTTTTAGTTTTTTTTGTTTTTCTTTGAGGTGGAGTCTTGCTCTGTCACCCAGACAGGAGTACAGTGGCGTGATACTGGCTCACTGCTGCAACCTCTACCTACTGGGTTCAACCGATTCTCCTGTCTCAGCCTCCCGAATAGCTGGGACTACAGGCATGTGTCACCACGCCCGGCTAATTTTTTTGTATTTTTAGTAGAGATGGGGTTTCACCATGTTGGCCAGGCTGGTTTCAAACTCCTGACCTCAGGTTATCCACCTACCTTGGCCTCCCAAAATGTTGGGATTACATGCTTGAGCTACTGCACCCAGCCAGTTTTTATAGCTTTATTGAGATACAGTTCACATATTATAAAATTGACCTCCCTCAAGTATACATATATTCAGTAGTTTTTAGCCTATTGAGAGTTGAACAATCATTTATCAGACTGTATTTTTAAAAGTAACCATCTATATGCTGTTTATCAGAGATAAAAACACATACAAACAAATTAAGATGGGAAAAAATATAGTACAATTTATCTTAAGAAATCTAAATCTAGGCAGGGCACGGCAGCTCACACCTGTAATCCCAGCACTTTGGGAGGCGGAGGTGGGCGGATCACAAGGTCAGGAGTTCGAGACTAGCCTGGCCAGCATGGTGAAACACCATCTCTACTAAAAATACAAAAATTAGCCGGGCACGGTGGTGGCCGCCTGTAATCCCAATTACTCAGGAGGCTGAGGCAGGAGAATAGCCTGAACCCAGGAGGCAGAGGTTGCAGTGAGCCGAGATCTGGCCACTACACTCCAGCCTGGGAGACAGAGCAAGACTCCATCTTAAAAACAAAAAACAAAAAACAAAAAAAAAACTAAATCTAAAATATTAAAAACCAATGGGAGCAATGGGAATGTGTTGTATCTCTGTGTATGTGATCTCCATCACAAATATGTTTTTAGTATTTTGATAACTATACCTCAATAAAAGTGGCTGGGATTTATGCATTAAAAAATATTATTTTAAGAAGGGGTCTACAGGTTCCAGAATGCCAACAGTGTTGATGGCAGAGACAAACACAAAAATGATAAGAACCTTTGTACTTAAGAAACTCTTGAAGATATACACAAGGAAACCTAAGCAAGAATGTTCAGAGTAGCACTGTTCACAAGAGCAAAAAGGAGAGTGGATCAATAAATTGAGGTATAGTCACTGACAGACTTTTCTAAAAGTCCTTAAAATGACAGAACTGGAGTTACATGTATAAACATGGACAAATTTCTTAATCTAAATGGTGGATACATGAGTGTTTGATATAATACTCTTTAGATTACTATACACCACCACCATTACACCATACAATTTTTTTTGTTTTGTTTTTTTTCATTTATCAATGTGAAAATTTCATGGATCATCACCAGTCCAAATACTGGCTGGCATTTAGGAACCAGTGCTTCATACCATCCTGCTTCCAGCAAAATCCATCCAAAATCACACTTACTAGTCAGCGACAGTATTAGGCACAACACAAATTCCTTAGGAAACCTTTCTCCAAACCACCTAGTTGAAATTAATTTTCCCCTCTTAGTCTCCATATAATTCCTGTCTAACTCTCTACTTACCAAATTTCTGAGTTATATTAAATACTGTCTGTGCATACCTGATTTCCCAAGTGTAAGTCCTTTAATGGCTGAGGCAGTGCTTTGTGTTTCACAAGTTCTCAAAACCAATGTCTGTTGGATTTGATTTATTCACCTCTACCCACTGTGAAATAAATCCTCAACAATGGCTTAAAAGCTGTGTTTTCGTCTTTAGTATCTATACTAAAATAAAATCTGATTACAAAAATAAAACTTCCCATTGTAAAACTTAAGACTTCTACTGTTCATAATCTCAAGTGTACCTCTTCCTATTTTAATTATACCGAATAAAATAATGCATGGAAAGTATTTTATATAGAATAATACAAGAAAAATATAAGAAAATAACTTTGAACAATGTAAAACAAGATATATTTATTTTGAAGAAATTACATATTCATGTTATGTTTGAGATTATGATCATTTTGCACACTGGAATACAGAATGATGTATGAGTTAACTATGCTCCCTACTGACTGAATAAATACTTTAAAAACATTCACAGAGTGTAAGAATATGGTCCGAACAAATGTACCACATGAAAACCAAATGTGCCTTTACCATGCAAATGGGTTTCATAAAAAGACCTTGGCAGACCTTAAATATATTTAAGATAGAATTGATTGGAGAGAAGAGAGACCTGAGAAGAAAGAAGGGCAATTTTAGAATTTACTGCCCAGGGTCACCACATTAAACAACTTTCGGAAGCATCATTCACATTATAGTATACATCAGTGGTTCCCAACTGGGGCAATTTTGCCCCCCAGGGGACATCTGGCAATGTATGTGGAAACATTTTTGGTCGTCACAACCTGGGATAGGAGAGACGTTACTGGCAACTAGTGGGTAGAGGCCAGGGATGCTGCTAAACATCTACAACGCACGGACCAGCTCTGTAAAACAAAGTATCTTCTAGCCAAAAATGTTAAAAGCGTTGAGGTTGAAAAATTTTGCTCTACATAGTGTTCCTTCTCAAGTCATGCAGCAGGGCAATGCTATGAGTTTTACCCAATAAAGTCAAATACAATTTGACTGGCTTGAACTTTGTTGAATGGGTCAAAGAAGGATTAAACCTCTGAAATCCAATATAAAAATTTTTTGCCATCTTCATTTGGGCTAGAAAACTGCAGTCTATACAGTTTCATATCTTCACCTTTTATCTCTATTCTAGATGATACAATCTGTGCACAAACCCTTGATCAGCTAATGATACTTTTTAAAGATACTGGGCTTTCCCATCATACCTGTGTTTCCATTTCCATCATCTTTTGTTTTATTTCTCTTATTTCTGCCTGTGTTTCAGCTTCTCTAAGTCGAATGGTCATCAGTTCATCTTGTAACTCATTCATAGCATTTTTCTTCGGTGGGTCTTTCCATCTCCCAGTAGTACGAGCTAAGTGGCGCTAAAGCATAAAAAATTATATTGCAGCAAGTACTCTCAGTATCAAAATCAGAGCTAATATTACTGAGCACTTATTTCAGGCCTGTGCTATATAAAACACTTTCCACACATTATTTTATTTAATCCCTAGAAAATCCTATTAATCAGGCACTATTATCATCTGAATAAAAGGGTTTCATAAAAAGACCTTTGCAGATCTTAAGCATATTTAAGATAGAATTTATTGGCCAGGCAGGGTGGCTCACACCTGTAATCCCAGCACTTTGGGAGGCCGAGGCAGGCAGATCACCTGAGGTCAGGGGTTCGAGACCAGCCTGGCCAACATGATGAAACCTCGTCTGTACTTTAAAAAAAAAAAAAAAGATAGAATTTATTGGAGAAAAGAGACCCGAGAAGAAAGAAGGGCACTTTTAGAATTCACTGCCCAGGATCACCACATTAAACAATTTTAGAAAGCATCATTCACATTATTGCCATTATTGGTTCCCAACTGGGGCAATTTTGTCCCTCCAGGGAACATTTGGCAATGTATGTGGTAACATTTTTGGTTTTTCACAGGTAAGAAAATAACACTGTGATTAAATAACTTCAGGAGTATCACACAGCCAGTGCAGATCTGGGACACAAACTCAAATATAGTTCAAATTTTTTTCTCTATATACTGCAAATGAATTCTTGAAAAGAATACAATTTTCACTGTAATTTTTTTAATGAGAGATTTTTCATATTATCTTCAATGAAATCCCAATAAATTAGAAAAAAAAATGGGGCCATCCTTAAGGAAGGAATGTTAGAAGTTAAGGGCAGTGTTTCTCAAAATATCTGTGACAAAGTACAAATTTTGTCTTTTTTGTTTTAAAATTTCAAGTTTATTGCAATCTGACACTTTGTAAAAACACGTTTTAAAAAAACGGCATGACAACGTCAAGGCCTAATTTTGGTCCTTATATAGAATATGTATTTTGTTCCTTGTCAACATTTCCCTCATACATGAATAAATTTGTGGTCATATACCAGATAAATGTCATTTATTTGGTGAGGTAACTAAGTTACTAATTTATACACTAAATTTATAATGTTGTCACTCTTCTGGTGTTTCACACTAACCAACAATGGACTTAGTATCAACGTAAGATAAAATATGTACAATATAGAATACTTTTACAGTTTTTCAGAAAAAGTTATACAAGGCACAACGGTACAATTACAAAAATATGATCTGATATCTACTGTATCTTTTATTTTATTATAAGAATTAAAGAGAGAGAAACAGCCTAAGAGCACTTTCAGTTTATAAATACTCTCAATTTTGACATTAAATAGGGTCTCTCTCACTTTAAACTCATCTCCTACTGTAGGTCATCAGGTACTTCAAACTCTTACATATTGGAAATTTGGGTTTTATTCTCTTTTTAAAAAGCACAAAAAATATATTAAAATACCTGCCAGTGTTCCTCTAAATCCTTGACTTGCTGTCTAAGTTCTTTCAAACCCATAATGGCTTCTGCTTCTCTCAGTTTCACAGCAATGAGTTCTTCCTGAAGCCTTGCGATATTATTCTCATCAGGAAGGGAGTTATTCCTCTAAAGAAGAAGAAAATTTAATTTGAGACTTTTAAAATTAAGGAATAAAATACAGCACACATAACAGCTATTTTGTTCCACACTTAAATGTATTTAATTTTATGCAGCTGTACTGAAATATAATTCACAAACTATGAAACTCACCCTTTTAAAATACACAAGAGCTAGTGGTTTTCAGAGTATTTACAGGGTTGTTTAAACATCACCATGTTCTAATTTCAGAATATTTTGATCATGCAAAAAAGAAAACCTATACTCATCACCAGTCATTCTACATTCCCCATTTCCCCAGCCCCTGGCAACCACCAATCTACTTTTTGTTTCCATGAATTTGCCTACCTGGACATTTCTTGTAAGTGAAATCATATGTATTTATAGCTTTTTGTGACAACCTTACTTCACTTAGAACAACGTTTTCAAGGTTCAATCTTTTTTTTATGCCAAATGATATTCCACTGTATAGATATACCACATTTAATCTATTTATTCATCAGTTAATACAAATTTGGGTTGTTTCCACTTTTTGACTATTATAATGTTGCTATGAACATTGGTGCAAAAGTTTGTGTGTAGACTTAGGTTTTCAATGTTCTTAAGATATACTTAGGAGTAGAACTGTTGGCTCAGATGGTAATTTTTCTATGTTTAACTTTAGGAAACTGCCAAACTTTTCCAAAGCAGCTGTACAGATTTTCATTTCCACTAGCAATGTATGAGGAGACCTGTACTTAATTTTGAAAACACAGAAATCTAACTCTGATTTGTTAATAAAATACTAATCAAAGTTACGGAGCAACAGGATTAAAAATTTTTTCAGTATGGCAATAAACTTACTAACCTCTGATCAGGACTCCAGATAAAGCATGAACATCATTTACTTTTTAAATATTTATAGAAAACAGTAGTCCAAAATCTGTTTTTGTTGTATTTCCTCAGTATGTTATTTCTGAGAGAGGCATCAAATCTCTGTGTATTAGTCACTATTTACATCAACAGTCAAGAAATTAATACAAATTAAACAATTTAACAATTGATTCAAATGAAATGACTGAAATTAAACAACTTGATTCACGGATACAAGACTTATTTATTTATTTATATTTTTCCATAAGTTATCAGGGTTCAGGTAGTATCTGGTTACATAAGTTTTTTAGTAGTGACTTGTGAGATTTTGGTCCACCCATCACCCAAGCAGTATACACTGCACCTTATTTGTAGTCTTTTATCCCTCACTCCCCTCCCACTCTTCCCCTCAAGTCCCCAAAGTCCACTGAATTATTCTTATGCCTTTGAGTCCTCATAGCTTAGCTCCCACATATCAGTGAGAACATACGATGTTTGGTTTTCCATTCTTGAGTTACTTCACTTAGAATAATAGTCTCCAATTTCATCCAGGACAGTGCAAATGCTGTTAATTCATTCCTTTTTATGGCTGAGTAGTATTCCATCTCATATATACATATATATATATATATATATCTCAATCACAGTTTCTTTATCCACTTGCTGACCAATGGGCATTTGCATTGGTTCCACGATTTTGCAATTGTGATCTGTGCTGCTATAAACATGTGTGTGCAAGTATCTTTTTCAAATAATGACCTTTTTTCCCTCTGGGTAGATAGATACCCAGTAGTGGGATTGCTGGGTCAAACGGTACTTCTACTTTTAGTTCTTTAAGGAATCTCCACACTGTTTTCCATAGTGGCTGTACTAGTTTACATTCCCACTAGCAGTGCAGAAGCGTTCCCTGTTCATTGCATCCATGCCAACATCTACTGTTTTTTAATTTTTTTTTGATTACGGCTAATCTTGTGGAAGTAAGGTGGTATTACATTGTGGTTTTGATTTGCATTTCCCTGATCATTAGTGACGTTTAGTACTTTTTCTTTTTTCTTTTCTTTTTTTTTTTTTTTGAGACGGAGTCTTCCTCTGTAGCCCAGGCTCGAGTGCAGTGGCACGATCTTGGCTCACTGCAACTGCTGCCTCCCAGGTTCAAGCAATTCTCTGCCTCAGCCTACCGAGTAGCTGGGATTACAGGCGCCTGCCACCACAACTGGCGAATTGTTTGTATTTTTAGTAGACACAAGGTTTCATTATCTTGCCCAGGTCTTTATCATTATCAAGGCTGGTCTTGAACTCCTGACCTTGTGATCCACTCACTTTGGCCTCCCAAAGGGCTGGGATTACAGGCGTGAGCCACCGCACCCAGCCGATGTTTAGTATATTTTCATATGTTTGTTGGCCATTTGTATATCTTCTTTTGAGAATTGTCTATTCATGTCCTTAGCCCACTTTTTGATGAGAGTATTTTCTTCTTACTGATTTGAGTTCGTTGTAGATTCTGGATCTTAGTCCTTTGTCAGACATATAGATTGTGAAGATTTTCTGCCACTCTGTGGGTAGTCTGTTCACTCTGCTGACTGTTCCTTTTTCCGTGCAAAAGCTCTTTAGTTTAATTAGGTCCCAGCTATTTATCTTTGTTTTAATTGCATTTGCTTTTGGGTTCTTGGTCATGAAATCCTTGCCTAAGCAAATGTCTAGAAGGGTTTTTCCAATGTTATCTTCTAGAACTTTTATAGTTTCCGGTTTTAGGTTTAAGTCCTTAATCCATCTTTTAAGTTGATTTTTGTATAATGTGAGAGAAGAGGATCCAGTTTCATGCTCCTACATGTGGCTAGCCAATTATCCCAGCACACGGATACAAGATTTAGATCAATTTCCCACCATATTAAAAGATAAAAAGGACACAGGGTAGCCCAGTATCAAACTTCTCCGGAGAGTTACCAAAAGATCCAAAATTAGGTCCTAGGGAAAGCTCCCTAGGTAAACAGGTAAACTGAAGTAACATTGAGATTTCAAGGCCTGATTCTATGAAATTTTCTATCTCTAAATATTTCATGGTACACATGCAAATTTCTGCTCACAGGGATGATGAAATGAAGTTATTCTCACCAATTACACATTCTTATGATGGACTTTAAATATTTTCTCAGTTGAAAACCAAAAATTTACTGCATATGCATTTAAAAGATTGCTGGAAGCAGAAAAAAAGAGAATGCTGCATGAAGAAATTACCATAGGAAGCATGCTACCTTTCAAATTCCTTTCTACTTTATAATGTGAAAAATGAAAAACACCACAGCCACTTACGAAATCCAGTTTTGAATGGAATCCAAATACACTTCTATCAAATATTCAAAATCTTTCTAACTGCAAGACACAGATTCTTCTCTAAATCATGTAACCCAGAATACACCTAAGTTAGAGACCAAATATTCTGTTAGCCATTTCTTTCAGCACTCTTGCTGGCTTTTTTTTTCTCAACAAATAGAAAGAATACATTTTCCAGAAATATAAAAACAGCAAGGAGCTTTCCAGCAAAATTATTCCATTACTGTTTCTCGTTACACTTGTCCTATTTCATTAAGAAAATAGTTAAAAATACCTGACACTTATGTCCATTATCTATCAGGTTTTTGGATTCAGTAGCTAGCTATTACCTAAGAGTAAAAAGGAACTAACGACACAGAGCACAGGCCACCAATAAATTTACAGATGAGAAAACAAGAGATTCAGAGTTTGTAATCTAGAACTTCTAAATCTGAAAGTTATAAGAAACCTGAAGTTCTTCTATTCCCATTACTTATCTGATCTTTGATGTTCTTCAATATCCTTGAAAAGAAGTAAGTTAGCTTCTGTGAGTACACTCAGGCTAAAAGGAACTTCCTACATATCCTGAGGTAACTTGTTCTAGATTGGACAGTTCTAACAACTACACTCAGATGAAATTTTCCCTGAAATGTCTATGTATTAGTCCTATTCTATCTCTTCCACATGAAAATATTGCAATATTTGACGACAGCAATTAATTTCTTTCACCCGAGTTTCTCTTCTGCAACACTTAGATACTCTTTTTATGAAAATTATTCTGGTCGTTTTCCTCCAAAAGGGCTCTAATCTCCATTTTTATCCTTAAATATGGGGCTTTGATTAGTATGAAGGCAACAAGGAATAACTGGCAATTTTAAAAATCTTTTTTTCCTTTTCCTCTTAGTAACTAATATGTAAGGCTTCTAATGTATAAAAACACCAAGTCAATTAAATTGCTCAGTAAGTACTTAATAAATATCACATATCCCCTCTAATTTGGAAGTGACTGCATTTGTGTAGGTTTCTTACCTTCTCTATATCCAAGACTTTATCCTGCATCTCTTTTAGTGCACACTGAGACTCAGCTTCACTCAGTCGGGCTTGGACCAATTCCTTTTCTAGCTGTAGCACAAAATCTTCGTTGTAGTTGGAACTGCATTTATGCTAAAGGTTACAGACATACATTGAAATTTCATGGAAGTATAAACATGTATATACAGTAAAAACAATGCAACTACCTAATACAGTTATATTAAGGGCAACTAAATAGGAGAAGTTCCATCTACCCAATATTACCAATGTATCTCCTCCAATTAACTTTTCCAATGAGTAAAAAAGCCCAACTTTGATATCTATAAAGACGACCACATTATTGGGCTTTGGTAACTAGTTATTGCACTGATCAAATCTGAATCATACAAGATAAACATCTCCTTTTATCTGTCCATCCATCCAGATACAAAGAATTCGTTCTGACTTTACAGACCTACACCACACAATAAATAGGATAGCAATTAGACACATGTGGCTACTGAACATTTGAAATGTGGCTAATCAAGATTAAAACAAGTTTTAAGTATAAAATACAAACTGGATTTTGAAGATTTAATATGAAATAAAAAAATCTCAATGATTTTTATATCAATTACATGTTAAAATAATATTTTGAATATACTGAGGTAAATAAAAATATTAATTTTACCTTTTTTAAACTCCTTTTAATGTGGCTATTAGAAAATTTTAAATTACATCTGTGACACATTATATATTGCCATTTGATAGTACTATTATGTACTACAGAAGGCATGTAAACATTACTCAAAAATATATTTTAATCTAATGGAAAAAAAACAGGGTACCCACAATAATGTGAACCATCTAAATTTCAAAATAACAAAATTGTATTTGTGCTTAGAAATCTTCTTCAGAAGATATGTATGGTTTCCCAGCACTTTGGGAGGCCGAGGTGGGTGGATCACTTGAGGCCAGAACTTCAAGATCAGCCTAGCCAACAAGGTGAAACCCTGACTCTACTAAAACTACAAAAATTAGCTGGGCATGGTGGCACACATCTGTAATCCCTGTTACTAGGGAGGGTGAGGCAGGAGAATGGCTTGAGCCCAGGAGGTGGAGGTTGCAGTGAGCCGAGATCATGCCACTGTACTCCAGCCCAGGCAACAGAGCAAGACTCTTGTCTCAAGAAGAAAAGACAAAAAAAAAAAAAAGATATACATAGAAATAACTGCTGGAAGCAGAGAAGATGCAGATGCTGCACGAAGAAATTAACCCCGGAAGCACGCCATGTTCCCATTTGCTTTCCTACTCTATAAAACATGAATATTGATGCAAACACTTAAGTCATCATTTTTAAGCCAGTGCCCATACAAAAGCTTCTGTACAGAAGCAATATGCAATTTATCATTATAAAATACTTTCTAAAATAAATTGTCTATTACTTCACATTTAATTCATGTAGTAAAGAAAATGTGGCAACTCAAAATTACAAAATAAAGTCATAAAAAACAATCTTCTACTGAACTAGCATGAATAAAGCACAGTTATTTTTAGTCTTTAATATGTTAGGAACAAAATAGATGTCAAATTAGAACTATCAAAAACAACCAGATGCTTAATACATGGTACTCTCCTGCCCCAGTTACCCAAAAAGATGTGCAAATGAGGACTTTAATTCAATGCATTATACATTATTTCTTCTAGTAATTTTGATACTATTGAAACAATATTTCAATACGAAAAGAGAATCTGCAACAGACACATCATCTTAGCAAATACTTACCTTCTATCAATTAGGAAAAAGGCATTCTTTTGGAATGACCACATCCAAACTAGAAGTGCCATAATTTATTTAATCAGATCATAGTTATTTCATGGGTACTGGCAGAATTTTTTTGCCCTCAACTTAAAGCCCTGGCAACTGTAGTACAGGTTTGTTTGCCAAGACTTTATATTAGGAGATCCCCAAGAAAACATCAAACTCAAAGGCTCATATGAGAATGGAACTCTTGATTGGAATAAACCAACTAATCCAATCAAGTACAAAAGGCTATAGGAATGTTGGGAACAAATCTTTATTAATAAAATTTGCAGAGAGCTGAAATGCTCTGATAACAAGTCATTCTGGATAATATGTATCTTATGCTTTTTATACACTAAAACATATTATTTTAGTCTTCTGGATTAAAATAATTCTAAATGTATTATGTAATAGTTTTGCCACTGACACAGTTTACAGAATATAATTCTCTTAATTATCAGGTCTTCATGATGATAGTCAACTAACACATTGCAAATTACACAGCATCTAAGGAAAAGATGCTGCTGTGAACTATAAATTGCCTGAAGCTAACCACTGTAGTTTCAATTTATTCTATTTTCTACAGGGGGAAAAACAGTTTTATAAACACGTTTTAATGTTTGACAGAAATGACAATTATGACAGCAGCTAACATCTACTCGCCACTTACTATGTGCCAGATACAAGTTAAGCACTTTATATTCTCCTTTAACCCTCACCACAATTACTACCTTACTAATAAGGAAACTAATAGGGTACACCAAGGTCAAACAGCAGTTGATAGTGCTATTAATTGAGAGTTTGTATTACAGAGCCCATGTTCCTCACCTTTAAGCCTATAGGTGTTGAAGAGTTTAATATATTGTTTTAATATATACTGTTCTAAAAATCAATGATATAATATTTTAAAAATCCAAACTTCTAAAAAAATCTAAGCATATAGATCTCACATGTTCTTGTATTAAGAAATTCCTAGAAGAGTGCATTTCATATTCAAGTGAGTAACTTGGACAAATACACAATTTGCTTTACCAAAGGACAACTGCCACAATTATGATGGCAGGCAGTCTCAGCAAGGGGGGCTTTTATTTAAAAGCGTACAAATGACAGATGACTTCCCTATACTTATATCAAGTTAATTTATGTAAATGAATCTCATAATGTTTCTGTGATACCAGCAATCCCAGTCCAATGAAACTGACAGAAATTCTTTTTAGTAAGCAGAGTCTGCTTTTCAATCCTATGTGCTTTTCTGGTGTTGCAAAAATTATAAAGGTAAAGGTAAGTTAGAAAGTTCTCAGTAATCTTTTTGCTTGTTTCTTGAGCTTAAAAAAATCTTCAATATTTTAAGGATATAGGAGTAATACAGTAAAAAGTAAATATTTGTATTGAGGGAAGTTTCTCATATTATTAAGTGAAAAAAATTGAAATTAGAAAAAGGGTTGTCCACACAAATATATCAAGTATTGCTTGAATTTAAGTATACATTAAGCTTTTAACTAACTTCAAGATATGACATTTATATGTTCTTTTCAGGAACCCAAACATTTCATGGAACCCTGTTCTTGTCTGTTTTGTAACACTTATCATATAACTCTAAAAAAAAAATTGTGCAAGCTGCCCAAAGTAATTCATAGATTCAATGCTATTTCCATCAAACTACCACTGACATTCTTCACAGAATTAGACAAAAACTACTTTAAATTTCATATGGAACCAAAGAAGAGCCTGTATAACCAAGCAAAAAGAACAAGGCTGGAGGCATCACGCTACCTGACTTTAAACTATAATACATGGCTACGGTAACCAAAACAGCATGGTATGGGTACCAAAACAGACATACAGAGCAATGGAACAAAACAGAGACCTCAGAAATAACACCACACTTCTACAACCATCTGATCTTCGACAAACCTGACAAAAGCAATGGGGAAAGGAACTCCTATTCAATAAACGGTGCTCAGAAAACTGGCTAGCCATATGCAGCAAACTGAAACTGGATCCCTTCCTCACACCTTATATAAAAATTTACTCAAGATGGATTAAAGACTTAAATGTAAAACCCAAAGCCATAAAAACCCTAGAAGAAAACCTAGGCAAGGTATTACTCAGGACAGAGGCATGGAGAAAGACTTCATGATGAAAACACCAAAAGCAATTGCAACAAAAGCCAAAATTGACAAATGAGATCTAATTAAAGAGTTTCTGCACAGCAAAAGAAACTACCATCAGAGTGAACAGGCAACCTACAGAATGGGAGAAAATTTTTTGCAATCTACCCATCTGACAAAGGTCTAATATTCAGAATTATTGGGGGGAACCAGCCCCCGATAATTCAATGTTATTTCACATAGGTTCTTTTCTATTTCTCTAAGTGTCAGCCAGTCTCAGAAATACAGGGAAAGAGTACAAAAGAGAGAAATTTTAAAGCCGGGTGTCCGGGGGAGACATCACATGTCAGCAGGTTCCATGATGCCCCCCAAGCCACAAAACCAGCAAATTTTTATTAGTGATTTTTAAAAGGGGAGGGAGCATACGAATAGGTTGTGGGTCACAGAGATCACATGCTTCACAAGGTAATAAAATATCACAAGGCAAATGGAGGCAAGGCGAGATCACAGGACCAGTGCAAAATTAAAAATGCTAATGAAGTTTCGGGCACGCACTGTCATTGATAACATCTTATCAGGAGACAGGGTTTGAGAGCAGACAACTGGTCTGACCAAAATTTATTAGGTGGGAATTTCCTCGTCCTAATAAGTCTAGAGTGCTACAGGAGATGGGCACTTATTTCATCCCTTATCTACCACCGTAAAAGACAGACGTCCCCAAAGCAGCCATTTTTGAGACCTCCCCTTGGGAACTCATTCTCTTTCTCAGTGATGTTCCTTGCTGAGAAAAAGAATTCAGCGACATTTCTCCTATTTGCTGTTGAAAGAAGAGAACTATGCCTCTGTTCCACCTGGCTCTCAGGCAGACAGACCTAATGGTTATCTCCCTAGTTCCCTGAACATTGCTGTTATCCTGTTCTTTTTTCAAGGTGCACAGATTTCATATTGGTTAAACAATTTGTGCAGTTAACGCAATCATCACAGGGTCCTGAGGCGACATTCATCCTCAGCTTATGAAGATGACAGGATTAAGAGATTAAAGACAGGCATAGGAAATCACAAGGGTATTGACTGGGGAAGTGATAAGTGTCCATGAAATCTTTACAATTTATGTTCAGAGATAGCAGTAAAGACAGGCGTAAGAAATTATAAAAATAATAATTTGGGGAACTAATAAATGTCCATGAAATCTTCACAATTTATGTTCTGTCATGGCTTCAGCCAGTCCCTCCATTCGG